ATACATACTAAATTAATAAATAAGGAGAACAAGGATAACTATATGATATTATTAGTATAAACAGTAAGGAGACAGTGCACGAATGAGCTGAGCCCACGAAGGTTACAAACGAAGGGACACGCACGAACTATATACAACAGATGCGCGCGCGAAAACAAACGATATATAAACGTAGCAAACACAGAAACCTTTACACAGTACATTGTTACGATATATAATAACCCCAGACGCGTTATGTAATCTAAAATATAGACTATATATATATATATATATATATATGTATAACGGCGATGCTATAGGTTGCGGCTAGGTTCGTTCGTTTATTGTAAAATAATGATACAAAAAAGACAGTCACGTGGGCAGCAGAACTGTAGCAGCCTGAATTGAGGAGTAGCTTTCGAATTGGACTGTTTGCATGACGAACGCAAGGCCCTCCAAAGATAGTTTTTCTATTCGCACAGGTGTTCGGAGGCACTTTTGGGGTGCCTCGGAGAATTTCTCCACAGCTTTGCTATCTGCATCCCCCTGAGTAATGATAACAGTATTGATGCGGCGGGTAATAGCGGTCATAATAGAAAGGACGCAAGCAGGAGCAATATAGAGCGGAATATACACTTATATATATATATAGATGAATTTTACATATATATATAAGGTATAGAGAACTGCGAAACAAGGGACGATGATAAATATGATTAGGATGCTGGATAAAAGGAGAAGGACAAGGCACGAGATATACTGACGAGACGAGTCGATGTATTCGAATTTATGATGTGAGTGCGTTCGCGCCGAAGTTGAAGCCGACATGCTGCATCAAGTCCGGCTGATGTAGCACCGGCAGTTATCTAAAAGATACACACAGAACCGATAAAAAACGTTTCAGGCCCTGCCCGTGCTTACAGACTGTTGCTCGATGATGAATCGTCTTTGTTTCCTAGATGCCTTATAGTTGATAGTTTAGTGTTGATTGAAAATCGGGTCATCCATCGACATCTCGCATTCTGTTTGGGAGCAGGCGTAGGAGACCCTTAGGAGTACAATACAGTCTAGCTGGCCATAGAGACAAGCAAGCAAGCAAACAAACAGATAGTTCAACACAGATCCACTCGAACACGCATGACAGATAATGCAAATGAGATGCAGACAAATGGTTTATAACATTATCTAACATGCAATAGATTTTAGAGAAGTTTCGGCAATTGATTCATAGATACGGTCGTTAGAGATGAACGACAGTGCGCTATTTCAGGCCAATAAGGTTTATGTGGAATACTCAAAGACGCCAGTGCCACTTGTGGGGATCTCAGCACTTGGGATAAAAAAACAGCGGCGTCGAAAAGTTGCTGTGCATTTAGTTGCCATTTGTGTTTCCAGTCAGTAAGTTCATGCGCAAATATATACGAAACAAACTAAAACAATAGGGAACATAACGACGAGATAGAGCAAAATGAAGGATGACATATGGACATTCGTGGATCTCAGGATTTCCGATTGCATTTATATTCAGCTTTGTTGTACGTAATTAGTTGTGTAGCTTTCTGTAGGATGTTTCACCGCGTAGGATAGCATCTGTAAGGGCCGTTGTCGCTACGTGTTTTGGCGCAGCGATATATCTTCATTTCAAGATGATGCATACAACTTGTTTACGTATGCTATTTTAAATGGCGCTCAGTAGCTCTGACTAAATAGATGTCATGTCGAATCTATACTGCATTGGAATATATATGCATATATATATATATATATATATACATATACATATATATATATATACATATATATATATATATATATATATACATATACACATATATATATATACATATACATATATATATAAAGCAATGCACAAAACTCTTCGACGCCGTTTGGGTTGTATTTCTGGCTCTGCAGGAAGCGTCGATATGCTGAAGGTGGTATGAGAAAATGTTGAAAAAACTGACAAAAAATACACGATGGGAGTAAGGGGGACAGCGACAGACAGAGAGAGAGAGAGCGAGCGAGCGAGAGAGAGAGAGAGAGAGCGAGAGAGAGAGAGCGAGAGCGAGAGAAAAAGAGAGAGCGAAAGCGCGCGAGAGAGCGAGCGAGAGAGAGCGGAGCGGAGCGAGCGAGAGAGATAGAAAAAAGCGGACACACAGATACATCTGCAGACCAGGATACTGATTATGTTATAATACCACTACTATTACTATGAATACTATTGAAAATAACAACGAGAAAAGAAAAAGCAAAAGGTGAGAGGAAATTGGTTGTCGACGATGAGGCAAAGATGCAATGTTGCCGCAAATGAAATACAAAAGATGAAATCTGCTTTCATGCCCGCCGGTTGTCCTTCGCTATGTTATTAAAGTGTTTTATCTATGTTTTTGTTGTACTTCTAAAATATTTGTTTCACTTGTATTGAAATCATAGCACATAACGATATTATTATGAAATCTGTAATCCGCAATGAAATGAAGCTTAAAGGAAAAAGAATTACTACGTTAGGGTTAGGCTCAGAGATAGTTTCAGTCCCAGTCAATGGGAGACGGGTCAAATTATCCTTGGCAAGGAAATCGCTAAAAAAGCACACACTTTGTTACGAGTACACAGACACAGACACACACACACATATATATATATATATATATATATATATATATATATATATATACTTACGTACAATAAGCCATAGAGATATGTATAGTAAACTACGCGGATTTGAATCGTAGAAAGGAATGTAAGACCTGCGTGATGGATAAAGTGGTGCATTTATTTTCAACGTTACATTGGCCTTTCGAATTTGGGGAAGTCGATGACATAACTGTCAATTGTATTACTTTAACATTATAATAATAATAATAATTATTATTTACGTATTTATCATTTTACTAAAGCTATACCTACATTCGTAAATTACCTAAATATTGGAGCACGATATGACGAAACAAAATAATTATTATAATTATATTATATATTAACCAATGGATGACGAACGGTAATGAATGCCGTAGAGGCTTTTGGCACAAATTCATAATTGGAAATAGGAATATCCAATTTGTCAATAACATGTCAACCGATGAGGTGATGATCTCTGCCTGTAGTTTGGTTACTATTGCTATTATAATTATTATTACTATAACATAATAATATGTTTAATAATAAATATATTTAATTAGAAAGTACAGAAGTGATGTGAAATAAGTTTTCATTGAAACTGAAAAATCGAATTACAATATACGATGACGCCGTGGACAGACCGTCGGGTAGATTATTTGTACATGCCATGATATGCAACTATGTAATTAGTGAAGAAAGAGTAAATAAAAAAATAAACCATCTATATTATATAGAGCTTTGCACGAGCCCCTTTATTACTCGACCGATTGCTATCGGTATATATCTGAACGGCTAAATCTCTGATACGATACAATATTTTTACTACTACTACAGTATTCGAAATTCGGATTAACGCTTAAAATGGTTCAGACACGTTCGTCATGCTTCTGCAGACCTCCTTTCTAAAAAATCATTTTTCCTTCTCTACTGTTCTGGTATGTTAGAACTTAGTTCAATTGCCAAAGCTAGTTACAGCAACATACAGGGCATCATTAATATGTAGCACTGCCTAGCCAAATGAACCAGCCAATGACAAAGAAAGCCATAGCATGTACAGGTGTACGCAGGTGTGGCATGGTTTGCATGCAGCAAGCACGTCGATGTGCCGAGAAAGAGCACGCAGGATGAAGCCTTCTTTTTTTGCTGTTTATGCCTAAGTACGTTATTGATTTGATGAAGTTGATCATAGCGATGCAACGTCTAGTTGCATCGATATGATCAACGGACTTGAAGGATTCCGAGGGTCGAGGTTATCGAAAAGAAGCAAACGTCAGAAAATAAACAATAAGCAAAACGTGCGTCATATAGAGATCACTTTCGTGTCGGATAACGGCGCGCACGCCTACTCTCATACGACTATTCTGCGTAATGAAACTGTTCATATTTTTCTATTTTTTTAACTACAGGAACTTCCTGAGGCTTCTCGTCTATGGCGTTCTGCTCTTACCCTTCAATTACGATTGCCTATATGGCAAAAAGCGATATAGAATACCAGATTTTTAACATTTTCTTGAAGCGTTTCTGCTGGATAAACGCTGGCTAATGTTTTCTATTTATAACTATACCCGGTTATTATCGATGCTCTAATGTGGAAATCATTACACTGTGGGTAAATTTAGTATATTCGAAAGCTCTTGATTATACAGATGAGGTCTCCTTTATCGGTATACAGTTAGGGTCAAAAATTTCCACTTACCTTTCAGACGGATCAATACTTGACTTAATTAACAAAATGTTTTCGTCAACTTGTTAAACGCAGTTTAAGACGCTGCACAAAGTGGCTTTTTCAACAATCGGAACTACTTAAGTTATTGTCTAAATAGTTTTTTTTTTTTTTTTTTTAAGTAAAATGGCAGTACTAAAAACAACTGTTGTATACTTGGTGTCAAGCTGACATATCAGTATTAACTTAGTCTCGTTTTTCGCATTATCAAAATAACCAGATATAACCCAGATAAGGAAATAGGCTCCAAATCCTTCTCACCTCATTTTGTTATATCCATATATGGAACGTGCGCAGGATCAGTGTGCATCTAAGAATTGAAGTACATCTAAAAATTAGACCAATACTGTGTATATGAGCATTTTACGCCACTAAAGGTGTTTTTTAAATTAAGCAATATAGGGTGTTGTGCTGTGTTTCAGCGAGGCCGCATTCTATAAGTATGAATTTAAAAATGAGTTTAAACCATAAACGTCTGTTATAATAGATAAAATTGATATTTGCTACAACTTTCCTGGCCTCGATGCCACACTGGTAAAGCGCCTTTTGCCCACATGAGCCTACTACGTACGATCTCCCTTAGCAGCTTCAAATCGTCGAAGATCGTCTTGGACTCTTTGCTGCTATCGGTTTCTATTTTTCGTACGCGATCCTAGCCATGGCCTACATGGAGAATTTATTCCAGATACATAAGTCTCTCTTTACGTATAGCCTTGTTCTCCAGAACTATTTTGATCAAGTAAAGACATCCCTTGGATTAGAATTAAGTATATATTAATGTATTTGGGGAAAATTCTCGCACAATATAATCTTCCGGCAGGATCATAATCATCATGAGTTCAACCACTTTCCTTGCCTTCATAGTGGAACATATGCCATTTTTTTACAGCCTTCCTTCCCTAGCCAAATTTAACAAAACACTGCCGTTATTTGACTGTCTCGTCCATCAGACAAAAAAAAATAAACTAATTTCAGACGTATGAACTTGTCCCTACCAATTAACGTCGTAGGTTAGCAAATCAGACGACCTTCGACCTATTCATATTGACTTGCTCATTCTTTGAGGATTGAATTGCGTGCAGGTTAATCGCAGATCCCATCTACGTCGATGCACAGTGTGACCAAAGAGATGCAGCATTTCTGCCAGACGGCGATATTTATCTGCAGTAACTAATAATTGAGCACGTCATTAGGTTCGAACCATCAGTGGTTTCTGAAACAGAAAAACAAGAACTTCATAGGGCATCTCGATGTACTCTCACTAAATCAACGGTAGACTCACCTCTGAATACTGATGACACGGTCACAACTAGCGTACTAGAAATTTAGCCAATAAGAAGTGTCGATAAAAATCGGTAAGTCACCAGATCACCCCATCATCAAGTAACGAATCTACTAGCAAGCCAAAAATCCTATCATGTTACACAATTTACCTCATCTGAAGTTTAGGTTCGACATATTCACACTCATAACAAAAATACGCGTGATACCATAGGATGTTTTCGCATCGGTAGTCCAGAAAGTCACTTTACTTCGGGACGCATTCGGAAGCGCGAATGCGATGACAGGTAATTTTTGCAAGGCATCGTCTGAGTCGAGAGTCAGAAATCGAGGATTCTGAAAGGGCGCTTCAAGAGACTTTTAGATAGACCGCTTGATAACGATGATGTAGCCATAATCTATGATGAGCGGCATAATACAAGAGATAGGAAAGCGTGTCCACGACAAAATGATTGAACTGCATATGGCGGCTGCTAAATGCAAACAGCAGGACCTTGGTTCTGGTTCATATGTGGATACGAGTAAGTGACATTCTTGATGGTAGCATTCGAGTCCAGGAAACGAGGGGTGTTACAGAACTGCTCTTAGATCCAGAACAGAAAAACAGATTCTTTGTATCGGCTCGAGAGAAAATAACATTACCATTTGTTCCGATCTGTTGTATAACGCTCGAATGGAGATATCAAGCTCAAATAATGCTTTTCCCGTTTCCGTTAAGCAGAACAATTTTACACTATAAGATCGATATCTACAGAAAGCTCTAGTCAGTTAATTTATTAATTAATAATTTTCCAATGGCCTTATTTCATTCCGATTAGAACATTCACTATTGAAGTTTAGTGTATCCAAATAATAGTGTTGTTGGTAAATACAAAAGTAAAGATGTCCACCAGCTACCTGTTTACTGAGAGAATTCACGAGCAAGGTACACGCCATATCGAGTTAGTGTGTCACAGACACCATTTAAAAGATTTTAGCTTATCAGTAAATTATGCCCTTATCATCTGGAGGAGGTGATAATGGAGCTGCAACAACTAATATTCGACGGTCCTTTTGTCTCAGGCGATTTCGAACGCATTTCGTTTGGTACGATCTCACGCCAGAGACCGCCGTCAGATAATCTGCGCGCTACCTGATAGAGAGAAAGCTGTTGTTCGAAATATTCGAAGAAGTTATTCACTTTAAAATCGACTGACACATAAAGAACATGCTTCATCCATTAATGCCATTTACTTAATTAAATACTGACGTATTTTCGTTCGGTATAATGCCGCGTCAACTCATCTTCATATATTATACAAATTAGCAATTGTCCCAATGTGTCTATGAGAGCTAAAACTGTCCGCCATCTTAATGTTATCCTGCAGGCTTGGAATACTGTGAACCATATATTTCGGAGGCCGCGCCTTTAACTCGATCTGGAATATAGCCATGTAGGATAATGATGCGCTTAAGAGATTTTCGACACGGTGCTTATCTGGGTGCAAGTCTGCGGGTTGAGTAATGAGCCTTATATATCGGGCTGAAATATTTGCTAGACGACTATTGAAAGGGCATTGGCACTAACGTCAACTAGAAATGACCAGCTCTAGCCTATAACATGAAATAATGATTACGTCACTATCTACTGAACTCGTTCTAGCCAGCTTTATCTCGATGTCTCACTACATATACTTGGCAGAAGCTGGTGGGCTTCGATTATCATCACAGGATGTACGAAGAAATTTCCATGTGTGTTTTAGCATTTACTAAAACAGCTAGATCTTATAGGAAAATATATGTATGTATATACATATGTTCCTCTTGAGCACAACTACCTTGATTCATTACAACTATGTTACAAAAAAAGAACACGCCACGATAATAGGAAAAAGAGCAAGAAATATGGCTAAGTGTATGTAAATGGCCCGTTAGTTCTTTTTGGCACATTGTATTAAGCTGTAGTGTGTTTATGTGATGTGGGGGCTAGACAAAACTATGTGCTTTTAAGAAGGTATATTTCTGGCATCACAATTATACTGTTCAGCCGTTAGTTTTGCAAATGTCAGTCCAATAGAGCTACGTGGGTGCTAGGGTCAGCCGTACCTTCCGCAATAGTTTAAACAGCAATCAATATTAGTTCAAATATCGTCTGCTTTGAAAAGATGTTTTGCGTTTCGGCACATAAAGTTAAAATTTTGAGTTACCTATATCATTAACCGTTCACCTAATCCATCGCCAGTTGTCATATATATAGGTGGCACTAGGTGTGTTCCACGGGCATTGTGTAGGTAGCGGCTTGTTGCTGCTGCTGCTGCTGCTGCTCATCTACACTGAGGGTTGTTTCCCTGTAGTTTATGCCGTTCGTTTTGATATGGGCCAGGGCTCAGGAATATGAAAGCCGTGACCGTAATCGTCTCCATTATGACTGTTAGGGTTTTGTCATCGCACTTTCAAAATGTTAATTATGGCATTGTACTGAGTAGCGTCTGCAACGGCTATACGTTTCTTTCGGTGACTAGCTACGCTACGTTCTCGAGAAACTAGTCTGGGGGCCACAAGATCTCATCCTACGCACGGCTTTTAACAATAAGTATTTGTTTGCCAGTGGACCCATAATAGAAGAAAACGACTTCGAAAACGATGCATTTGTTGGAGGGGGCGTAGGCATATCTAGTCATATCGTAGCATTAGCTAAAAATAAAATATGCCCATGTAATAGAAAGAAACATCTTGGCTCTTCTCGAATAACATCTAACAATTTCCTTGGCGTGACCGATACGCAACGGCTCTTCTCTTACGAATTTTTGCAGATCTTAATTCTTATAACAACACGTCAATGGCACCGATAATAGGTCATAACGAACACGTCGGCCAGGTGGATGAAATGTCTTTTTGATTTGTATTGGACCGTATCCATATTTGACATTTTGAACTCCTCTACTTTTTCCGACGATTAACTAGCGCCGTCAACATTATACTCGCTTATGAATACAGATCTACGGTTTCGCGTGCGCGCTTTTCGTTGCTTGCTGGTGCGTGATCGTCTTGGTTGCCAGGCCGCCAAGGCGAAAATAGAACGAACGAAAACATTCTGGATAAGAAATCAGCGAACGCATGTGCCTTTTCAATGCGCGCGCAACCTCATTCGTGGGGGTCAGCCGGCCGGGCTGACTGTAAGCGTCACTGGAAGTCGACAGATCGGGCGCCGTAAAACTAAGTGACATCTTATTCAGATCGTAGTATCTGGCACGGGTAGGGCAGACGTTCGATGATTCAGCATCGTTGGCGCCATCCACTGCCATCGCCGGAGCGATTAGCGTACGGTGCGTCTTCTGTTTTGTGGCGACTGCGACCCTTCTCGCCGACGCCATCGTGCCCGCTAACGTCGTTGGAGAGGGAAATCAACGCAAGCATTTATTGACCCGGCGCCGTAAAGTGCCGTCCGCTCGTTGCTCCTGTTGACAATAGTTCATCCGCTCAACAATTGCGATAGCGTTTCGGTCGTTTCTGTATAGATGTTGACTGGACCGGCCGCAGAGGGGTTGTGTCCCAGTTCGTAGTGCGAGGTAGCACCCGGCGTTTGTTGGGCGATTGTTATTGGTGGCTGGAGTTCGAGTCTCAGTTTTCGGTGCTTTTGCTCGCGGTGCTCCGTGTTGTGTTAAAAGGAAATTATATCCCACTCGTTATACTGCTCGATTGCCGATCGTCTGTCCAGGCTCGAAAAGGTATTTAGTACAAAGGACTGCGGAGCGTGATATAATGTTTAATAACGCTGCATTAATTTTTAGATAGAGTTGTCTGTTATAACAGTAGTTACTGAGATATCTGTATGCTGAAACAGACAAACCTAGACAGGGGACTAGACAGATTCTAACAGTTGTCTATAGTGAAACCTAAAGGCGTTGTGATCCGTTAGTCGAAAGTTGTTTTGACAGCACAAGGTTCAACTGCCATACCAAAGTCCAATGCGTCCTGAAACACAAGGAATCGTTCTTGTCCCGTGGCAGCATAAAAGATTAAATCCATACCCTTAAAACAGGTAAAAGGGTCTGCCAACACCGCTGTCCATAAATGTTCTTTTAAGCCGCTATGTTGTAGAATAGACGTAATAGCACGGTGTAGAAAAATAGCAATAATGCGGCCAATTTTACTTTCAAATTGTGGCCATTGTCTCCTACTACTACGTGATTGGAAGCGTAATATCTAAATGATAATTAAAAAAAAAACGTGTGAATGTGTGGATTCGAGATAATAAAACGGTACCCAGAAGTTCTATGTTTGGTCATGTTGGCCATATACATAACATTTTTAAGCTTAATTTTCTTTAACGTTTTCGCCCATCTTCACTGCATGTATAAGTTTTCAGAATCACCTTCTGTGTGGCGTTAATAAGCTGCTTCCACTAGAAGATTCAGCCGGAGGATATTTTGCACGGCCTTGCCTTTAATAAGTTGTTAGAGCCTAATATTCTATTGATGAGTTTCAAATAATCCGGTAGACACTGTAGTTGTACATGGAATTTCCTTAGCGCAGTGACCGCCCAAGCAGACGGCTCCAGAAGGAATGGCGAAATTTAATTAGCAGTATCGTAAACATTGAGAAGCTGGGAGATTGCTAGGGGACTCTGTTCTTAAATGGGGAGGGGCTACTTGATAAGTGTTGTTATTTGAAGAGTCGAAGCCCACCAAAGACGAAACATGTAATCGAAGGTCGGCTTATGGGCGGCAACTAGATTCCTTCATGGACAAATTTATTCATTATTATACAGCGCGGCGGATGTTTGCATTCCGTCTTAAACGAATGTACGTCGATACGTACATACAGATACAGTGGGTACATACGATGTTTGACTATGTAGTAATATAGCACCGGCTTCGTGTGGCTACATTTGGAAATCGACTTGTGTCATTTCCTTGAAGGTAGTTAGCTATGTATGTGTATATATGGTAAACAAGAATACAGCCATGATTGACTCGACCCTCAGGCGGTCTAGCAGATAGCTGAATTGACGGACCATCAGATATGCATATCGTGTATCGACTGGGGGATGGAGGAGCTTAGATAAGATTTGTTACAGTTCAACCTTCATGTTCCTTCTTGTAGCCGCCCGTGGCGCCGTCACGTGCGCATGTATTATTTGTATCGCTTACTAAGAACGCGCTACGTTGTCTTGATGATCAGATGTTATTCAGCGAGTGCGAACTAGCAAAAAATACGTCTAACTTTGATCCGGAATTGCTGTTAGAACTAATTACGGGGCTCACGTGTGTTTCGCCTTTTTTCGGTTGGTATTCTGTGCATGGATCTAAAGCCTTAAGGGGCCTGATACTATCTGAGAGGGGCAACGTATCGAGAAACACTCTGAGTAGAATTTACTAAAAATATGTCCTCGAAAATGCGACGCCCTTTTCAATTAAGAATATACTATGTGTCGGCGTCATAAGGAGTGGTGAATGTTTTCGAATCATAGATGCCTGGCCAACTTGGGGCCACTAAAACTAAGGGCGCTTGGTAGCAATCTGAAGTACTTTTGAACAACGGATTCTTCACCTCTTTTTCTGGGGCAATTTTACTTCACACGATTAGGCGAGTGTTTTCGATGCGAAACACTAACGTGCATAGTACGTTTCCGTCAAGGAAAAAGTTTCACGAATATTAAACAAGTAATTGGCATAAATAAAGCCAGGCGTCTAGGTATAAAAGAAGATTTCCGTTTCAGACATTAACAACAACACGAATGAGATTCAAGACTAACTATACGACTTAAAGAAACATGTTAATTATATTTGCAGATAAACTACACAAGTCTAACTTACTTATTTTTGATAAGATTTGCTAAAACTACGTTTACGTCGAAAAACTACTAAAATGTGGCGTTACGACGTTGACGTTAAAGTGAAACTGGATGAAAATAGAAAAAACAATGCAGATTTGCCTGCACATTCCAGCATGTGTACTCAATGTTTTTATCGATACAAATAAGTAGTGTGAGCGGTTATAACGATATTCTTATTATAATCCCTTTAGTATTTTCTGCTCGCTTTAAATCGTTTCTTTTCTTTATCGGACACCTCCTGAGCTATCATCGTATCAGCTGATCGGTGTTTCAAATTTAGCTATATACGAAATTTCATTAGTTAGGTTGTTGGCCCCCAAAAAGTTCGGATAACTAAAGTATTTCGATCTAGTTTGTCAAACAGGTAAATATTGTTCCACGCGGCAGCAGTCGATGTATGATGATTGGCTAAACGTTTCGGGTTCTACGTCTAACATTGCTCTAGCTGAGCATTTCTTGAGACGGCTACCCGCTAGCGCGGAGCGGGGTTATGCGATGCGATCACTGCTCGTAGATGCGCGGCGATTTACGAAAAACACAATGTGAGATTGGTAGTAGTGTTTTTTTTAGCCCCCTTTTAGATTTGTTTTACACATTTAACTTTATCTATTCTATGCATGCCAAAGATCTAGAAATCACAGTTGGATGTCTAGTATATGCGTCGAGTTTTTACGTCCGGTGCTGTCGTTAATCGCTAAACGCAGAGGGGCTATCTTGACCTTTACCGTGTTGACACACGTAGCAAACGATGCCATAGGGACACTAGCTTAGTTTGATCTCCTGTATATTTGCTTGGGAAAAATGGTCGACAGTATAATATATACAATAGCGTGTCCTGCCATCGCATACTTGTTGTGATGCGATCCGCTTTGATACATGTAGCATTGACACACATTTGGGTGCATCTCAGATCCAAAAGCGCATCTAATTAACCGTAACATTTACTGCTTTCGACGCTCGTTTATTGCTAACGGCGTTCACAGTTGTGAACTTTTGTCGGAGTAAGTCCATATTTGTCGATAGTGTGGTTGCTGGAACAAACTACAAAGGATATGCATTTTTCTAATGGTAGCAGTCTCACAATCCTGATTAGCTGTTGCTTATCAAAGCATCAGAGGACCATGAGGACACACAAACTGAACACTATATCTTTTGAAACATACTTGGATTCGTTTAAAATCCTGAATTTTCTGTCCGGATCTGTATTGCCAGTTTTCAAGGTCTAAATTGCATAAATCGTAACCCTTTAAATAATTCTATTTACCTCTATATTCAAATTGGGCCTACGTATAAATGTCTTTTAGATACAGATTTTAATTTCTATTTAGGGGATAATTTGAATTTACGGTAAACAAATAAAAATCTGCTTTTGAAAGCCAATGATGGTTTGATTAGCTACGGCCTTCTGTGAAAGATTATAAAGTTTCGTATTGGTCCGTTTCTAACAAGAGCAAGTCCGTCCGTCCGTCCTTCCGTTAATGATGAGGTTCCTTGTATTCAGCGCAGCTTAGTTAGTATATTGGCTCCTACGAAGACACTGTTGTTTAAATTTAACGTATCAAACTAGATCTGGCCTGGAAATTACTAAAACCATATTTGTATCAGATTAATCGTTTAAAACAGGTCATGCACTTCTATATGGGGTCGCATTTGTCGTACACAGCATATTTTAGTTTCGATTAAAGGTATAATATAAGGGAAAATGTCCAAGCGCTACATAGGACATCCAGCTATTGGGTATTTGTAAGAATCAACGAGACGTTTACATCATTTCCTAGCCAATCAGCCTTTGATGTTTTCCGCTTGGAAGCGGTTCTGCTAATCTCTACAGCAAAATTTCAAATGTACTGAAAATGGTCCTCTGAGCCGTTGGAATATGCTTTCGATCCTCTTAAATCTAAACTTCATTGAGAATCTTGCGGTTTGCCCCATGAACCCGAAAAGAGTGAGCAATAGCTGTGCTTTTTTTAAATATTTAAAATAAGACGTTCTATAGAGAACTGGCTCTCGTTTGGTAGCAGCAGTAGCGTTACGAAAATAATCCGTCAAAGGTTATCGATTCAAACGCACCACCCTGTATAATTATGCTGACAAGACAAATATGTTACTCAGATGTAAAAACCAAGCAAAGACGAACAGCAACTAATTAGCCAATGGTTTATTTTTCAGTAAAACTCGCAGCAACAAAAAAACCCGTAGAACTAGGATGGTATTATCTCCTTCTCTCGAGAACAATAATGATGTCGATTCGTTGTGGAAAGGTCCCTCTGTGGGCCTCCGGCCAACAGATACTGTTTTAGTCACCGGGAGCAGTGGGTGCCTTGGGCAGCATGTCGTCAAGCTTCTTCAGGAGCAGGATTCCAACTGCAAGAATATTCGCCTTTTTGACGTTATCCCTTACAAGTGGGTATAAACTAACCTATATTGAGCTGTTTTCGCTACGAGCTGATACAATGCAGGAGAAATAGTTAGTAATTTAGGACACAGCGTAGACCTCAACACGCTTCCCTAAAATAGTAACGTATAAATATAAACACGGTACTGTTGTTTGGTCAACAGGAACAATTTGGGCCATTCAACCCAAAAGCCAATGAAAAAAATCCTTGGAGACCTGACGTATGCAAACGAAATTCTTGATGCTTGTGAAGGTACGTTTTCATTGTTTACGCTCATGAAGCGGAAAAGCTTTGTAATGATTATGTAACATAAATAATAACAATGATTGGTAAAGACGAGCCCGCGGTTCTCATAGTTGTATATACTTGCACCTATGATGATGAGATTTCAGCCCCATGAAACGTTTTACCATTATGCACCTTCATATCAGCTTCTTTTTTTTGTTTTATGCAATTAATAAGTACAACGCCATGTACATACATATTCCTCTGCGTATCCAGTCAAACGTTATCATTCGTTATATCGATATTTAGTCATGTGCGATGTACGTGTCCGTTACGTGTATCTGAGTGAGAAAAAATTGTTATACTAACCGTTTCCTCATCTTGCGCTGTCTATTTTAGGAGTGGATTGTGTGATTCATTGTGGGGCTCTAGTTGACATATCGCTGTTCCCAAACCAAATAGCCCTCGAGGCAATCAATATTGAAGGTACGCGTAATGTAATTGACGCTTGTATTCGACAGAATGTCCCTTACCTTGTCTTTACCTCCACAACTGATACCGTTGTGTCCTCGAACCACATTTTCTATGGAGCCGAAAATACGACCTTCGTGCCGAAAAATTTCCTCATGGGACCCTACGCTGAAACGAAACACCGAGCGGAACAGCTTGTCCTTCAGGTAGGTTTTTATAAGGTAAATAGCGTACCTTATTATGACGAATTTGGAAAGCCAAATTTCAACATCAGACAAGGTCGTCCACATAACTCTACAATTACACGTTACTCGTGTTATTAACATGCGACAATCGACGACCGCGGTACGTTACAGATATAATAAAAGAGCAACGAATACTAGCCGAAAGTAAAAAATGGGGGTGTTTAAAGTTAACTACGTGCCTCGTAGGAGTCCTAAAACGTCAACTAAGAGCACTAGAGCTTCTGTCAAATAGTTCCCAGCACGCCCAGAATAATTTTTTAAAGGCATCCGAAGTGGTATAGCCTTTAAATTGAACACATACACATTTTGGCTTCCCACTAAAAAAATTCAAGATAAACAAATTCACGTATCGTGCTTTTACTATTACAAAGCCGCTAAACAATATTACAAGCGATACTGTCGTAACGCGGACCTCAAGTTTAGTCGATAGAACCACCAATGTAAAGTGATACTAGATAGGCAAAATGACCTGAGTTCGAGAAAGCTGTTTATCTTCATAAACGCACCACTTGAGAAGTAGCAGCTGTTAACATATGTATGTAGCCATGGGAGGTGAGTTCGTGAGGTCTACCCGTAGAAATCGATCATCAGTCGTGTGGTTATGGGCAACTAGTCCTAAAATCTACTTGACTTTTCTGTTGGGTAGTAAACGGTAGTCCAGTCAATTGTCCGATCGCCTAATGTAACAAGCCAATTTTACACATTGCAGATGTCACGCTCGTACATCAATCTACTGTTGTTAACTATAGGGTCTTCATTCAAGTAATATGGCACTATAATACTATTGCTAGTTGAGCTATCCGTGTGTGAAGAATGGCAGAAAGCGAGCTTAACTGTTACTCGATGAAAAGTTGAGCCGCATTCAGTATCGGTGAACGTCCAGGGAGGCTCAAAGCATAGAAACGACCTAGGATTAATCTGGAATAGTCAAAAACCAATAGGAAACTTTATGGCATTGACTCCTGTGTGCATAACGCCTGAATTTTATCTATTCTACTAAATATTCTAAATAAAGCCAGCAAGAATTGTTTCGGCCAACACAAAACAAAGTGTCTGCGTACGATTTCGAACATAAAGACCACTTCACGATTGTTTAAATTTAGTAGGTGAACGCGCCATTTTTGCGTCATCCAAATGTCATGGAAACGTTGAAGTGTTGCGGCGACAGGACACACTGTGCGTGTCAATCGTATCTTGACGCAAATATACAAAAGAGCTACATGGCCACTGAGCGTCTCCAAAGTTTGCTTTACGCCGTAGATAAAAGGGGACAGAGTGAATGCTTATGTAAGGTTATTGCTATACATTGTATTGCAAAAAAATAGGGCTTCTACTGGGACTATTCGTGTCCAGTGGTCCGTTGTCCACTATATAGGAAAATATACGCGTACGAAATTTAAATCGTGTTGTAGATCAGGCTCTGGCAAAAGGTAGGCAATAATCAATATTGTTTTCAACGATACGGTCGAAATGTGAAACAGTATTTTTCCTCAAACTGATGTGGATAATCGCACCTAAATGAAAATTTACCGTATTTACGTTACGAAATTCTGTTTGTTCTTCTAAATTTTTCATAACGTTACGTTCGTATTCATGAAAACCGGAATGGTGTTACGTATACAAAAAGTAAATCTGTCCTCCTAATGGAGCCGCATAACGTCCAACAAATTTATATCACTTTGCTAGTAATATGTTCAGAGGTAAATTCGCAAGACGGGTATATTCGTATACGGGTATTTGTCACAAATTTTTGGAACTTTATCCAGCCGTAAAAATAACAACACTTCTTTCATTTTTGCAATTGTGCCACCACAGTCTTTTGTTTTTATGATATACAGAACCGAACTGATCGGCTATCCGGTTGCGTCGCTCTGACTTTCCTGTACCGGTGCGTCTCCGTATGAGAATGAGCTTTGTCGTGTGGTTGTGCAGGAGCAACCAGAGCGTTTAATTCCTTGTATACACGCCAGTATTTAACAAATTGGTACGGATATTGTTGGGTGACAAGAGCATAACCTTGATCCGGGGATGGCGTATACAGTTCATACGCGCCCTGGAGGTCTTCAGGTCTCACAGCACGCCTGTCGTGGCGTCTATGCTCAAAGGAGTCCCCATCTTTCTTGCGGTTAGGCTGTTGAGATTAGGGTTTTCAGCTGGGATAGTTGTATGGGGTTCCTGTGAACTAGGAGTAGGAAGCCTCGGAGATACGAGGTTCCAACAGATGCTTTTTCAAATCCAAAAACGATGCATTTAATTGCAATTTTAAATGTAAATTAGCGTTTGACTTGATTCTTTCTACCTCTTCCTCGTCATAATTGCTGACGGTGAAACACCATCGGCGTTCAAAAATGGTGCGCCTAGCACCGACCTTGCGAGAGTATTGCTTGTCCCGTCCGTGGAGGGCTATAAATGTTACCCAAAAACGGGACGAGACAAACCGGACATGTTTGAAAAAAAAAATGGGTTATTTGTATATAAGTGGCTACCACTTAAGATCACATGGCAACTTTTGCTGGTATAACGACTAACTGTAACATTTGAGCCACAAATAACGATTAACTATCGACTTAATTATAATTCACAGTTGAGATTCGTGGTTCCGGGACAAAGATGCAGTGATACTTCTAATATTATTGCTGAAGATGGCAATGTACTATCTGTTACCTGTCTTCTTGTAGCTTGTACGACTGCTTACCACCATTTATTGGGAAAAGCGAAAAGCTGGCTTCAAGTTACGCGAAGGTTCGTTTCGACGTTCCGTATTTGCTGGTTCTGACTAGCTAAGTACAAACTGCAAAAGCTACGGAGGCCTGTCAAAGTAGGAGACATAGCAACCCTCAGTGTTGTGCACCGCTTCTGCATGGGTATTTATGCCGAATTCAACAGCTGCCTTTGGCTGTTGCTGTCCTCGCCATGGTGCAAGACTGTTCGCTACGTTACATGGGCTGGCAGAAGAATTGAGCAGTAAAGCAGATTTGATTACCCGGCCAGACAGAAGTCAGTTAACGCAAATGGTATATTACCACTTCTTTGTTTGTATGGCGTGCACTGTTTTGCCGTGGCCACAGCCAGCAAGGGTCGTTCATGGAAAAAATGCTAGCGATGGTGAAGTATGATAATGGAACAGTGGCGGTGGCGTCGTGCGCCGACGCTCCCGCCATGGCCGCAGTCACGTTGACTGTAAACGACATCAGACGCAGCTTCGACCACCGACCGATGTCGGTAGCCATGGCTACGGGTTGACTGGTAAGGGTAATGGAGCAAGACAAGCAAGCGAATAGGCGGGATGGCCAGGTAACTGGAAAGAAAAACGCTAAATAAGCGATGGCGTCGGTCGGCGCATTTGTTAGCAGCTGCGAAAACGGCGGCTTCGTCATTGTCAACCACAGGTTTTTTTAAACCTGAAAGCGTGCGAAGCACACGACCTAGATAAGCGAATTATACACAAGTTTTTTGCATGTTTCCGATTGTACTCGTGTGTTTCTAAGGTAGGAAAGGCCTAAACAAGTGGGCTAAATTTAACGCAGTGGCCGCTGCCCCAAACTGACGTGAGCGGCTTGGCGTAACGTCAGGTATATAAGCGTCGCTAGCGGATAGCTTTGACGTCTCTTCGGAGGCACATACCGAGAGCCGCGGCGAGCCCGTAGTGTCGCGAGCAGCAATGTTCGCCCCACCCTCTAAAGCCGGGCCCCGACGTCGCGAGGTAGTAGCGCCAGAGACACCCAAGTAAACTCGATAAAAGAGTGGCGCTCGATTAAGATTGACGTTGTTAACACGAAACTCTTCTTCATAACCTACAAAATGTGTCGATGAGCGAACGATGATGACTGATAGATGATTGAGAGCTCTCCGCTTCGAATTACAACTGAATGCAAACTTCAACGTTTATGAGAACATTGCGCGCGCGGTTGCTTAACACCGAGCCCAAGTACCATAAAAGTTGAAAAGGCTGTGTGGAACAGCTAGGGCTTCCATACGGAAGTCCAATTTTTTGCTACTGTCACTTCTGCTATTCGGGTAGCGGTGGCATGCTAAACAATAGGAGGAACTGGTATCATAGCTTTCCGGGAATTTGACGTTGCGAGACTCTGTAAAAGCGCATGTGACAAACTGTTACGTGAACCTAAACAAATATAGCATATAGACTACGAGCGTCACATACATAAGGATGTGTAATTTTTTCGTTTATCTCGTTATTGTTTTCAGGCAAACAATCGTTTGTTGGCCGATGGAAACACAAAGCTCCGTTCGTGCGTTCTTCGGCCGACCATATTTTATGGCGAACAGGATAAACATTTCATACCTCGTATCATGAAGGCTGCTCAACTTTACGCAAGTTCCAAGATCCAAAAGGTTAAGAGCATCGATGAAAGATTCCAGGTAATGTAGCATTTGAACTTTTTCATAATACACGCCTATGTTATGCCAGGACGACCGTACACCACAGAATTAAGCGTGTCGACTAGCTAGCGTTGTGCCTGATTGCTAACTGCATTATAGTTATTATCGAGCGTTAGGTCCGAAAGGATCAAAGTAGACGTTTTTAGGGTCATGGAGGCTTACAAATGATTATCTAACTCATTTGATTTAATAACGTTCCGTTTATAACGTGTTGGAGTAACCTCTATAGGTCACGTACGTTGGCAATGCTGCTTACGCACACATTGTAGCGAAAAACTGCCTACGTGGGAGTACCGATTGCGCTGGCGAGGTTTACTACATTACCGATGATACTCCTCTTGAAGAATTCTATACGACGATAAAACCGTACGTGGAAGCCCAGGGCACCTTCCGTATCAGCGACTGGTCAATTCCATACCTCTTGGCCGTTTTCGTAATGAGTATTATTGCCCTAGTACTGAAGTTGATTCGACCGATATACCAGGTGAGGATAACTTTAGTGGGCATCACGAGTTCAAACAGCTCCTCGTCAGAAGATTCTTGCAGACTATATCCTTCCAGGAGATCGTGATAAATAGTTGCGATAGCACAGCAGCCGCTTAAGTGAACGGCTTTCATTTTTTTCCGTTTGAAAAATTACAGGTCGGCGAATACTTTCCGACACCAGCTGGCATCACTTACGCCTGCACATCGGTCTTCTTCAACAGACAAAAGGCTACCTTGCGATTGAAGTACTATCCGCATTATACAGCCGAAGAAAGCTATAAGAATTCACTTAAATTCTATAAGGAAATCAAGATTTAGTAATTCGGTGATTAACGAATTGCTAAAATGGTACAACGGAAACATTTTCCCGCATCGACCTCTCGGATCTACTAATTCGCACCTCTGTGTCTCTGTCTCCTTTCGAAGCTAACAACAAAAACAAGTAAACATAAACTTTTTTTGTAGCGCCCTCTAGTTCGACTCTGAAATTGAGATAAGGAACATTTCATATTTAAACATTACTATTCGCCTTACTATTGGGCTCTTCGGACAATGTGAATTGTGTTACAATACAAATAAATTGCTTTTCTAACAAATTCATTTGTATATTGTGTATGTAGCCATGGTCGCTCACACGACAGCAATTTGTTTGTTTTCTTAGTCAATGTGTAACAAAAATGATAATCGGAAAATAGTTTAAAACAATTTGTTTCATCAGCTGCAAATTTGGTGGCGTTTGATGCGAGAATGCAGTGAATACGGCAGGCGAAAGGTCAGGTTCGCGTTGGAACTGAATGAATATATGTTAGGGAGTTTTTGGTCTTCTATCTTGGACTTCGGGACTTTTTGCTTATAATCATTTCGATGTTTTGAGCTGTAAACGACAAATGTGTATACGCCTACTGTTTACTCGAGTTCCGGCGGGCTAGCAGTAAAGGGATTAAGCTGTAGGAACGTGTGATAAGGAAAGCGTGCGTTTAGAAAAGGCAGCGAAGTATGCCATTTTACTGCTAGATCGTGGTTGAATCACGGCAGTGATCAAGTGAGTCGTAATCGGACGGGTAGAAACCTCGTCACTTGTAGATTTTTGTTAAATTTCGTCAATGTTCATGCACTTGTGACGGAAGCACAGGTAATCGTTAGCTGAGAACGATATCGTGGATTCCTCTCAGAGCCTTCAAGTGGGTCGATGTTCAATGACTATTCTCATGTATATAGAGATACATTCATATATGCGTAGAAAACTGTTGCTACTCGTAGCAGTGGTGCTTCTGTGGGAAGCCATACGCAGTCACGGAAAACCCGTGCATTGTGTATAAGTCTGTCCCGCGTAGCACGATTGGTACCACTAGAAATGTCGATCGGTCTGACAACGATACTGTCTGGGACCGCACTCATGACTTTGAGCTCATTAAGCGACTAGTAACAATTTTTCGTGCGTGATGTCGTCTTGCTCGAAGAACAATATCGCGCTCCAGGGTTGCGTCACTGACTCGAAGTTGATTGCCAGCTAGCTAAGTATAACTTGCTCAACACGGAGTAGGGCAAGATACCTGTTGGGCAGGCTAAGCTCAGCCTATTTTTAGATAAGTTCTGGAATAGTTTAGTGCAAAAGTAACCGGAACAATCTCCGGAGCTATCCAACTTTGTATCAAGTATTTGTAACGGCATCAGATTGCTTCGGGATAAGCGTTACCGCTTTACTATGAGCTGTCTTGAAAGCATTAAGGCGTCTTGAAAGTTTCTCCCTCTCGTTCTTAGCAGCTAAGGTCCCCTTTCACTAGAGATCTTACTGAGGTTGTTACTATTTCGAACTGTGGCTAATCGGGGCTGAAGACACGGGAATATTCACTGTTTAATTTCCTAAAATTTTAGGTGATTATGCCTACTGTTCTCTAATTATAATCAATGGGTAGTTGCTGTAACACAGCTCTTTGAAGTACGGAACCCAGTGTACGAACACCCGGTTTCAAACCCAGCCATCCCACAAAGCTTAATATGCTAGAACGTTACCACTGCATTATGACGGAGCCAACATACTATATTAACAGACATCAATTCATTTAGACACCTGACTTATTTCTTCAGAGCATATATGCCAGCCAGGTCTATATAGTGAATCATTAACTGTGGTTTATTGAACCAAGTCTTGGTCTTGGGCGACCCACGGAACTTGTGCAGACGTTGGTTTTCGATAAGACGAGTCGTATTATTAGATTGACTTTTGAAGTTGAAACGTATTTCTTTTCTATCATTTGGACACAGTGGCTCGAATGCATCTAGCAGCGTGAAGCTCCAGTCGAAGGCAATTAATGGAAAATGAATATGCTTAGGTCTGTGCCTAAAGGAACGCCCAGTTTCAATCGGTGAAACGCTCTCAATTCATTTTCCTCTGTAGTGATCAGTAGACGGCAGACTTTTGTTTGATAACTTTCGTAACTTACGGCAGTGAGCATTACATATAATTTATATTATTATCTATGTTATGTATTATACATGTATATATAATATTTATTTATGAAATACGTGATAAGATACGGAGGTGCATCAATGACACGTTTTACAAAGTACTGCATATGAACCATACGTAGACATCAGAGAAACTCATCGTTGAGACGAACGTGATGTTTGAGAGCTTGTCTACACCTTACACCGTGAGCTCTACAGTTTAGTATAGAAACACTTATGTACATAATTATTGTTATCTTATGTCAGGCCAAGGTTGGTACCTTTCTCAATATAAACTTTTGATTGATCACGCCATTCGCATCAATATGGTTTCCGAACGATGGTAGACTTACGTTGCAGGAACGAATGAAGCCTCTTTTTGCAATAATAGTAACGTAAATAGAAATATTGGAATTATCCTAGTTCTGCACCTAAAACGCTATCCTACATCTTGTTATGTTATTTTATGGTTATTTAAAGATTTAGGAAAAGCATTTTCAGGGACTTTTCCAAAACAAAAGCAAATCAGCAGCAATACACTTAGCACTTTGAGATTCATGCTTGAACACGCCTACAGAAATTCAATAATAACGGAAGATAAATCGAAAGCTTCCCGAAGCAAGATTGATAGGTTCTCGTAACTTTGTGCCCTGTGTCGCCATTAGCCATTTCATCAGACCGTTTACCCTCAGCACGAAACGATGCGTGCCTATTTACAGGTTAGAACCTAGAGCACTACGTATGTCGTAAGATTAGCAGACAAGTACGTCCCTGTTGTCATCTAGGGTCGGACCTGCGCATAGACGGACTTCGTTTTGTTCTGGGAGCCAGCCGTCTCAGAGATTACATGACAGCGATAGCGAACGTACAACTTTAATATGTAGACGTTTTCGCAGCTCGGACATTTACCTACATGGACGAGCAGCTTTTTGAACGTGAAGCCTTTGGAAGGTTATTATTGCAAATTAAAAACGACTAGGGAATTTCCTCTTCGTAAATCAGTCGCCTGCATTCCCTTTTTGTAGTTGCCTTGTTATAAACTGCTCGTTATCTATTAAAATATATACTTAAGTCACTTTCAAATGAGGTGTTTTATTGAGCGTGAAATGTTGTTTTTAGAAATTTTATAAATAAATAACCAACTTTCCCCTTTAACGTAAATGTACCGGTTTTATTGCTACGTTATCAATCTAAATTTCCTCAGCTCTAACGGAGGCTTTTATCAATTGGTAATTTCCAATTATTCTGTAGTGGACCGTACAAAAGACCTACTAAAGACAGAAGATGAACGCACTTACCGGTACACTAATATTTCAAACGTGATGATACTGACCTTGAACTTCCACCAAATACTGGTCCTCGACCTCTTTTACATAGCGCCCCATAAACATTTAAAACCCCATAAAAAATTAAAACGAAAATAAAAAATCTAGCACGATTGACATAATTTGTCATCAGTTCGTTTTGAGAGAAAATCATCAATATATAGGAGTACGAACAACAAACGTTTCTTGCGTGTGTATGAGAACTGTTTGTAAATTCCTTTCATAAGCGGAAGAGTACTTCCACGGTTCTCTGTGCTTGTCTTTTTGTCAAACAAGCACATATAGCTCATATATTTTTCCAGCTTTATGCTCATTAGCCATTGCGTGAAAATAAGTACGTCTCCCCACTTTGAGCCGAAACCCCATCTCACGTGTTCCCAAGTCTAGCAGTCTTCCGTTACGCTGTTAGCGACCAAGGTCTACTTACTCTACTGCTAAATGAGGTAGTTAGTTGAATAGTTTGGAAGATCAAAATTGAAAATAACATAATCTGTCACTTTTTGCAGCGCTACCATCCCACCTATAAATTATATCTGTGAAACAATACGAATATCCGTGAGGTTGTATACTAAACATTGAATTCATTATCTGGAACGGCTAATATCCATCTATTTACCTAAATTCTCGATTTTCTATCGTGAGCAACAGACTCAGCTCGACCTTCGTTCACCCACGAAAAAGGTTCCCTCATTATAAAAGAAATACATCTGTCCTCAAATCCACTTGCATGTTTCAAGGCTTCGTTATGTACACAACAGCCTTTATGAGATACTGAACGGATAAAATAAGCCTTGAAGGAAATCTTGTACGTCGATGGCCTATAGTGTAGTTGTCAGACTCAGTGGTGCCCTTTCAACCACAAATTCTATGTTGTTGAAATGCGTTTTTATCTATTTCGATAGGTATTAATGGCATTAATAATCAATGTGCTGCTGGCGTTATTCAGACGTTGCGGCGTTATTGATGACAGACATTAGTAACTTCGATTTATTTATTCAAACATTACGATATTCGACATTGAAACGTTTTTTTTTTTAGCATTTTGCAATGATATCCAAGATCGTCTACAGCACGGTGTTTGCTTCGGGGACTGATATGACAGCTCAACGAGATCAGACTAGCTCGATACCTGGTTGGCCATTAGTTAGATAAGTTTTACGTCTACCTAGTATTACTAATAATTCTCCTTACCCAAACAGTAGTGTTTATAGGTGGTATTTACATTACTTTTGTCAAATCTACGTCATCTCATTTAATCTCTGTCGAGTTAAAGTTTCAAAGCTGTGTGTTTCACCCATCATTTGACTCTAGCGGCTTACAAATTAGCTAATCTAGTGAGAACTTACAAAGAAGATGCAGACAAACTCTCAAACATCATCTTCATCTTCACCAGGAACATTGCTGCTGCTTAGAAATTAACGATGGTGGCTCGACTCGCTTAGGTGCAAATCTGCTAGCACGCAAAGCAGAGGACGACAATGAAGCCAAAGAATAGAATGAAATCTGCCAATGGTGCAGGCGCGAATAATACCAAAGCTAGAAACCCGTGCGTAAAAACGGCAGACACGACTGAGGACATCAGATTGTAAGAAGCCTCACAAAGAAGTGAGAGATGTCCTCGAAAGAAGGCAAACTGCTACAACCAGGCAATATGTCAGTAATGCCATAGGGAGAGAGCAAAATTAGCCTTTTTTAGATCTGCGCATTTAGTGGTGAATCAGAAAGGCTAGTTCTTCGATTCAAATATTATTGCAGATTCATTTTGGCCCTCCGAACACCAAAGTGAATTTTCTTCTCCCAAGTGGTTTTCACACAGCACCTTTAGCTTTACAAGGGAAAGGTCAGGGGCAAGGTTCTAGTTAGAAAAAACCTTGTGTGGATTAGTGGATGAGGATTAGTAAGGATGAATATGACACTACTGTCGCTATATTTGAACGTTCAATTTCACGGGGTTCCCGACATTGTAGACGCTGACTCAATAAGCCGAGCTTGAAAAAAACACAAAGCCTTTTTTTTAAAGTGCAAACACCGGAGTCTCAAGAGCCTCTCGACACTCGTCTTCACGAGTCGTACAAGGTGGGCACGTTACCCGTACTTGCAGTATTTGCATTAGAACTAAAAAAACTCGTAATCCGACCTTTTTTCCCCTGCTTGGTTTCGTCATAGCCACACTAGGCGCTAAATGGTTTAGGTTCAAAAGCAGCCGTATATATTTTTCACTTGGAGCTGCAGAACACCCATTTAAAGCAATATCGAACGGCAGTACCAGATTTAAGAACCCAAAATATCTAATGGACTAGAATGAGAGGCTAACAATACAGTACGAAACGCGGCCTCTTTGCTATTTCATAATAATAACACAAACATTCTGATTCTGTTTTTGTGATTAAAAAACGCTCAGGATAATCAATTTTGCAAGCCACTCTATTTGTTAATTATACGTTAGTTATTTTCATAAAGAGGCCAAGCTAATTTTCGCAAAAACCTAATAAAACAATTGAGGAGCGATAAAGCGAAATCTGAAAACATACCGATCATTACAACCGAAACTAAAATAACGTACTACTAAACGCTCCCAAAGCCTAAATTAATATACTTGTAGAGTAGATAAATTGGGATTACAATATCTTATAATTAAAAACCCGATTCCCCCATTGGCTAAGTCGGAACCCCAGAGTCCGGATGCCATTTATTAAATCTGTCTTGTTGTCTGTTAACAGAAATGAACAGGAACACCAATAATATGTAATTATTATTATTATTATTATTACTATTAACTATTATTGTACACTAAAGCAAGGTTGGCTGCAAATAATAAGATTGTTGTCCAAGAGTGATTCCAGCATAGCCTAAAGAAAAGTAGGCTCAGTGAATCAAATTTTTTCTTAGATTTAATACCTACTTTTGTCCACTCTCAGAATATGGAAGGTAATTATAGTTACTAAAAAAAATGTGCAAATTTTATTTAGAACTTTGTTTATTTTGGATTCCAAAAGAGTACATGAAGCATTGAAATCAGACCGTAGGTCAAGCCTACTGCAACGGAACATCGATATCTGGCACCTTCTTAGATTCTTACCATCACTAATTAAAAACTGAATTTTAAGACTGACCTCAACGCGTTGCTGACAGCGACGAGTGCTCAATTAGTTAATACCATACGTAATTTCGATTACGGAACACCTCAATGCTGGCGTATGGCGAACTTTATCTCGCATCTAAATTTATTAAATGAGCAACTTTCAGATACGAAAAATTACATGCGGCGTCTGTGGAAAGGTTTTTTATTACCTACAAATTACTATTTATTATAGTTATTTGAAAAAAATCTGACTTGTGTATAAATAAACGCTGCTGGTTACGTTGTAACGTTCCATGTTTTATGATTTTCTGTTGTATGAAACGACATTAGTGTTTGATATTCGCCAACCGTGTTGAAAGGTATCTATTAGTCCTGTTGCTACTATCCAGCACTAGGGTAATGTCGGCCTCGTACTTGACTGCTATTTCCGCGAGACAATTTCGGATGGCAATGTTTTGTTTGCTTAATAATTTGATGTATAATTTTTTTTTCATCCTTTAGCACTATTCATAGTTTACAGTGTTCGGTGCCGTAGTTCGAACTGTCTTTCTTTGAAAGAGTGGGGTCTGTGCAGGTGTATGATACACAGGTGGTGTTTTTGCATGTATCACGTTTACGAGAACTCCTTCCCATGCAGGTGGACTATGCAGTGATATTATAACACGTAATACCTCACAAAAAAGCAATCTGAACTTAATTTTACATATTCAGAAGTAGCAACTGGTTACATCAATTCACAAATCTATATTACATCTATATATATACATATATATTTATATATATATATTTATATATATATATATATATATATATATATATACGTATATGTTAAATTGTGCATTCCGAGATGATCCATCGAGATCTTCAAATTGGACTTTGGATTTGTTTTATTTTGTTCAAGATGTATAATGCTTTATGCAAGATACTTTAGAGGATGTCAAGATGTCAAAATTGCTTTCTTAACGTCTAAGAACAACCCGTAACATCGACCTTTTACAAAAATGGTATGAACTTCGTGCCTAAAATCAATGGCTAAAAGATAAAGATGTTACAACTTGCAGCGTTTTACAAACGTGTATGAAGGCATGAAAACAAACAAAATGATTCCCATTAGAAGAAAAATATAGATGACTGTAAGTGCTCCCGGTGAGGCATCGTGTGAATTGGCACAGAAGTAACGTGTATGTCTACTTGCGTTTAAGCTTAGAGACATGTGGAGTGGTCAGAGTTCGAAACCAGCTGCGGACATGCTTTGGTTCGTGCTGAGAAAAGCCGGAAATTTGAAGCAACGCGTCACAGCATCGTAAAAAAAGTTCGAAACGCTAGATGGTAGTTGATCGAGTATGGTATAATCATTTCTCCTCGTTGAGTTCGGGGCAATAGTAGCATAACAATCATACATACGTGTGAGCTCGTGGGATCGCCTACAAAAACTAGTTATGTAAGGTTTAAGTTTAACAACTATTTCCACTGTATAACTAAGTAGAACGATGAGCTCCGTAAAATAATTATAAAGCTAGACCCATATCGGGAAAATTATTCTTCTCTAAATGACATTTTGTCATTGTTCTAGTAACACTTTTCAATATAAGAATTTATTTAATTAAATAGCTTTGAATAAAATCCCTTAAGAGTACGAACTATTGAGTTAGCATCATTCAGTCATATATTGACAAAAATAGACATAAAGTCGATAGATTTATAGAAGAAACACGCGCGGTCAGTAAGCCTTTAGGAGAATTATTTTTTAGGGCTTGTTCCTACTCGCGAACTACGTATGGAAGCATGTATAAGGTAAAAGCGAGTCTATGTTAACAAAAGGAATATGGCAGTCCGAGGTAAATCACTAGAGTGTATTAGAAAAAGGACCGTCGTACGGATTCGTAAGCAGAAATACAGATTTAACCATTGATTGCGTAGTTGAAGCACCATTGTTTTTTCGAAGAATCGGTTGTAATTTTTTGATATCGAGATCACTGACTGGATCGTCTGTGCTACCCCCGCGTGCCCTTTATGAAGTGTTTCAGCAACGGCTGGTCCCAATAGTTGATAACCGTTGTGGAATACGGAGCGTCGTTCAGCTGCTTTGCACTAAAAGGTGTAACGTTCCTAAGCAACTGCCTTCTTTTTCTTCAAGGTGGCAATGACTTCTTTACTAACTCGTAGAACCTTTCCACTTTTGCTGGACACCTATAACGTTGATGAATCTTTCCTCAGATGCATTTTCACGACGAAATTTTAATAATAATAACCTCTTGATGGCTACTGATGAATCATTCCATCAGAGCTTGCAAGATCGTTTCAAAAAGAAAAAGCACAAATTGCTTAACAAGTTATGATTTTTTTTACCTTCGGTTCCGAAGCCGCGGCAAATTCCCAGCCAGGTCCTCGGTGACTCGGAGAACCACCGCCGTAGTCACCACTATGAAAACGAAAATGTTATAGTGATACAGACAACAGCCATCAAAAGATATCTTTTAATGACTATCGTCTTACGTACTGTAACTTACACACCTTACGACGATTCAGCTTAGGTAATTGTGAAGACAATCTAATTTCGATCATTTGAAGTGTTTTGATCTATAATCTATAATGGGAAACTATTTGGTAGGATGTACTAGCAGATATGGCTATTTTAATTGATGTAAATGTCGTATCATGCATAGCAGATTTCCGACAGCTGGAGTATTTTCATGATATCTCTGGTTCTTGCTATGAAGACTCGGTTGCATACGTGAAAATAGCGGCACTTATCTACCTGTTGTACTGCGGCGAATGGTGGCGCATTTGGTACGGCTGCCCATTATGGAAAGACCCGTGATACAGTGAGTCATCCGAATCATGGTAACCTCGTGAACTGCTTTGCCTCCCGTGGCCACCTTGGCCTTCTTCCGTAGAGTCACCATAATCGCCCCTAAGATTCACTTCAGTATGGGCGCACTCTGAAGGACAATTAGCGAGGGAATTGTTTCCGTGCAAAAATTACTAATGGATACAAACGCTAATCTAAAAAGTTTCAGTTTCTTTATGGAATTGGCCCGAATGCTAACCGTCGCTGCACTCCAAGCGATAATAAGGTCAAATTGTATTTGATACCTAAATTACTATTCCACTTCCCCCTTCCTTTAGACAAAATTCAATGAAATTTACTTGGGTTTAAATGCCTGTTTATGAACTTCAGTCTACCATGATATCTATGATGTATTTTGCAACCATTTTTTGCTTTAGGACAAGTTATCTATGACCTATCTAAGTCCTTGATGTGGGCACGGTGGCTTGGATGGCTAAAGCTCTAGCTGAAAAAAAAGCCAGTGGTTCAAGCCTCGCCAACGGAGCATATCACAAAAAAGATGCAATTAAATCAAAAAACAATAATTGAATCCTGGACTATACTCAAGATAGGCTTACCTCGATTATTCCCAGCGCAGCGCTCGGTATCGCGTACATGATTACACGCCCACAAGTCCAGATCGAATACGGTGCCCGCAGCACAGCTGAAACGAGTGACTGATAGATTACGTACTAGTTCGAAATATTAAGACGACATTTTTTTTTTGGAAAGACCGAGATTTTCCCGCCTCGGTAAGACAGAACTGGCCCGTACGGCCTCTGCAGTATAATTATTACGGTTGATGTAGCTTTCGATTGCTGACTACAGCTCTTTTAGGCATTTGCTACTAAGTCGTATTGAAATAAAATCATACTTAATTCAATAGACAACGCTTCACTAAACACATTTAATATAATACACATTAGTATAGTTAAAAAATAAATTGATTCTAAGCATAAATATACGGTTTCTCTTTTAGTTTACCGTTGTGTGTAAGGACGACAATTAGCACAAGATACGAAACCGCAACAATTTCCGTCAACGGGGAAAAGTCCATTGGACTCAACGCACAGGCTGCGAGGTCCACAGGACGAGTCACCATCAGGTCCATTATCGAATGACCCCCCGGTTACCCTGGGACGAAGGCGTCGTATCAAACAACAAACAGAAACTGTGTATCAGTTTCGTCAAGAAAGAACAAGTAGGCTGTGCTGTTACGAAGTCTAATTCAGTATGACTATTGATATTGCAGCCTCGAAAATGTTTGTATAATAAAACCAAGTTAAAATGACGTAGGCAAATGACAATATCATAATTTTGAATTATTATAATCTTGAAATGCTAATGTTGTGTCCAGCAAAAGTTCAAAGAACTTATTCAATTATTAACGAAAATTCTTTATATTTACCCGCTATCGAAAAGCCGATTTTGGCTGGGAAGCAGATCGTTCTGTCCTGAAAACCCCTGTCCTGGGCGACTCTGCCTGCCTTCGTCTCGATCTACCAAATACTGGTAAGTTATAGGACAAGTACTCTCAAGATTCACCAATAATATTGATAATCTACGCACATATTTAAAATGGCTGTATTCTAAGTATGAACATTTATTCAGCCAGACCACTAGGCAAGCACCTGAAACTAAGTATTACCTGTCGATGCTCAAAGAAAATTATAGGTAGCGAACAGCGATTACAAAAGAAGTCTTCGATATAAAACGGGACCTATTTGGCGGGCTGTTTGTAATAACTAGCAGGAGTCCGTCAGTTATTTTTGATATTTCGAGGGAGACCAGTACTTTCCGGAATAAAACTTTAAACACATTACGGAGAAGGTAGGAGGTTGATGTGCGAAGTGCTAGTGAAGACCATTTTTTATCGAATGGTCCAGGCTTCTACCGAGATTATGAACTTTCCCTATGGTTTTTTTATCGACAGTCAAGGTCTATATGAGGCAAAATGTAAGATATCATATAAACTACATTAAAAACTTCAAAATTATATAACTACCTTTATGCCATTACCAATACCTTTAGATAATCCTTTGTGCCAATATTGATTTAGAAATGAGCGACTGTTTTTAAAAAAAGGGTATTTATCACAGATTGAGCGGTCCAAGCAAATCAGTCAGTCTTTTCTGTGCCTTTTGTAAAGTTGTCATGTTGAGCGAGATTTCTGCGACTCGACATGTGCCAGTGTCGCCTGGCTCATGATTATTATCAAACGTTATCTGCTAATTGTCAGAGGAAACTGTTCTTTGGTTTGGACTAAGAATCGAAACCAAGTGAATGACAGTTATAGTCAATAAGTACATCTAGGGGAAAAAAGCTAATGTTGGCGTATGCATAAGCAGTCATCCGACCCCCGTTTCCGTTCAGGGGAGAAATCTTACATGATTACAGATAAGTCCTAATTGCCTCGTATGCTTACGAAAGGGTTCTCTCAAGAAGGCACCCATATGGTCAAAGAAGTATCACAAGGATATATAGAATTGGTTACCACTGGGATTTTGGGCTCCTCGATGACGGCGCTGTCGTTGTTGCCAAATACCAACTGCATCATTAGTAATTCCTTGGTCTCTTCGATAGTCGTGGATACGGACTTCAACGCGATTCTCGCGGACGGGAACTTGGTGGAGGCGGGTGCTGGGGTATCCGCCATCTTGACCACCGAATCTCTGCTCACTACTGGGGATGATTGATGGGGAAAGCCGTTTAGAACTACTCGATAGAATTTCGACTTCTTTTTTTTTTTGAGTTTTGATTCTTCTAACAATTGATTCAACGCTGTTTCCGTATACCTTAGCGCCGCCTGCTACTGGAGTGGCAAAATCTATTCGTTTCTTTAACAAAATATGCATTATTGCCGTATTACACTACCCCAAAGGGGTTAACAGGTAATTCAAACACGTTGCCATTCATTAACGTTACGTTAATGCAGGCTAAACTGAACAATACACCACTCATCACTAAGTAGTGGACCTATAGCCCTTCCTTCTACAATGTGTACAATCTTACGCTTTTGAATTAAATTGACCTACTGTTTCTTAGAGAGTCAATCGGTCAATCAAGCAAACTCCTTTTCTCAAAGTCAAGCAGAAACATTTTAGATTGTGCATAGCGAACAATGTGATACTTCTCTAGTCAGGTAGGGTAATCCTGTTTCAGCACGGCATGCTTACGCAAGATACGTTAGACATTATCTCTTGGTTTGCTGTACCCGTACGGGCGCATTGCCGCCTAAATGTGATAAACAGTATATGTATTAAAATAATCATGTAAACGACAATAATAACATTATGAAACATATAAACAAAATATTTTACGCGTACTGATGTCGGCTGGAGTAGTGTTCTCCGTGAGGAGGGCCGAGATGCTCCGGAGATCCTTGAACACTATAACCCGAATTGTAGCCCCGGCCTCCTCGGTAATTTCTCGAATGACCATCACCTGCGTAACCAATTTTAATTTGAACAATTTTAATTGTGCGTTAAATGAGAGAACAACGGCCGTTTCCTATGTCAAGCCTATTTCTGAATGATTTGACCCTTATTGTGTTGTCAGAGTTGAAGTACTTTGAATATTCATATTCTGTGGAGTTAACGTTAGCCACTTACACATCCTGCCGCCGAAACCGTCGCCTATCACGTGATACAGCAAGATGAACAAATTCTCTCTCTCGCTTTCTTTCTCTCTCTCTCTCTCTCTCTCTCTCTCTCTCTCTCTC